AGATAGATAGATAGATAGATAGATAGATAGATAGATAGATAGATAGATAGATAGATGATAGGTTGGTAGGTAGGTAGGTAGGTAGGTAGGTAGAGATAGATAGATAGATAGATAGATAGATATAATAGGATAGATAGGTAGATAATAGAGAAGATAGATATAGATAGATAGATGATAGATAGATAGATAGATAGATAGATAGATAGATAGATAGATAGATAGATAGATGATAGGTTGGTAGGTAGGTAGGTAGGTAGGTAGGTAGAGATAGATAGATAGATAGATAGATAGATATAATAGGATAGATAGGTAGATAATAGAGAAGATAGATTAGATAGATAGATAGATAGATAGATAGATAGATAGATAGATAGATAGATAGATAGATAGATATGGATAGAGATAAATATAGACATAGAGATACACACACACAAACACACGTTTTAAACTCCCTTTCTCAACCCAAGACACAATCTCGCCTTCCCACAGCCTTTCAGGCCAGTTTATTTATTCATAGAAGAGTTTTTCAGCCGGAATGCATGAAATATGAATTGCAGCAAGGGACGCGAATAGCCACAAGGAGTCAACAGAGAAAGACCGGCTGGGAAGAGCATTCCGCCTCTATCTTGTCCTTGGTTTCCAAGCAACTCTTGTAAATGTTGTGTTGAAAGTGATCTAATCCACTCAACCGGACTGTTGACAACAACTCGAACTAATTGAGGAAGCTCACCAGATCCCCCCCGCAAGGACTTTCAAGATCTCTTCCCTTGCGATAGAAGACAAGGAGTGTGGAAAGGCAGAGAAAGCGGCTTGAGCTTTGCTGGGGACCTTGTGAATTCATGGAAGAAAAAGAGCACCCGGGAGGGGTGGGGGAACCATTTTTTTTGCAACTTCATGCAAACCTCCCCCCATCTACTTTGCTCTGCCCTGGTTGAGCCCCAGCTGAAATGTGAGGCACCTTTGCAACTAAATTTGCAATGTGGTGTCGGTACCAAAAGGTCCATACCAATAATGTAATAATGAAATAATGTATGAAAAAAAACCCAAACTCCGTAGGGAAATGTCTTAGAAAAAGAAATCCCTTTTTTGTGCAGAAGTTTGATGTGATGGAGAGTGGAACACTTACGGTTATGTTCCCAGCATAATCTGACTAATCTCCATATCTCTTGAATAATTTCCTAAAATGATGGGAGCCTGTTCCATCTTCTCCTGCTCAGGGACCCCGAGCAGGAAAGGGAATTTATTTTTTTGGGGGGGACGGACACACACAAATGCCCTCTCTGTGTTCATCATCCGCAAAGCAGCATGCGGAGAAGCTGAAGGAACCAGATTGGAGGGGTGTGGGAATTCTAACAGGCAATGCCCGACGGGAGAGAGGAAAAATAAGGGCTCAGTGTGAGATGTCATGTAGCTGTCAGGATGACAAGAAAGACAATCCTGGATTAAACAGAAGTGGAGAAGGGCTCGTTGTGGGCTTTGGAGGAGGGGGGGGG